AAATAACGATAATGTTATTACTATTGTTACATGACCGTCTAGAAAACCGAGATTAACGACCGTGGGAATCCGCTGCGCTGGCCACCCGACACCCTCTACCCGCAAATGTTGGCACTAACTTCGCCGACAAGCGGCGGTGTCTCGGTCGGTTAGTTCGCTTGCTGATTAAAAGCCAATGAGTTTTATTTTTCATTCTTGTATTGTGTCCTGACACCTGAAAGACGGAAGTGCGCAGTCAGAGAAGCACAGCAGACGTACACTGCTAGACAACGGCTCGCTAAACAATTTTTCCGCAGCAACGGATAAACACACAATAACAGAGGAAATGTTGGAGGTCGTGAGCTCTATTCGGTTCTTCCCGAAGTTATAAAGGGAGGACACGTGAGAACGCTGAGTCGGTTCAGTAGTTCAGTTCAGTGAGTTGATTTCAGAAGCTGTGAGAGAATTGAGACAAGAGAACGAAAATGGAGCGAGTCATCGGCAGTAGATTGACTGTGAGCTGTTGCAATTCATTGTAATTAAGAGTGACTGTAAAATAAGGTGTCAATAAATCCAATCATCCAATCCAGAACGCGTTACTTGTGGTCACGGAACCCCGGACACGTGAATATTTATTTGTGGCGCTATTTGACGAAGATATCAACAGCTAGATTAGGCTGATATGGCATCAAATGAATGAACGATGGGTGAGTGATGATCTGGAAAGCATTTAGAAGGAAGCGGTCCTTGCCTGCATATTGTGGTCTCCCGGAATTTTCCTGGAGACACTAAGAAATGCGACGAAAAACCTCAGGTGAGATTTTACCGAACACGTCCGAAATACGAGTGAAGATTATTACCGATATGACAATATCCGACCACTACTACTACTACTACTGCTGCTGCCGCTACTACTGCTACTACTACTACTACCACTACCACTATTACTGCTCATACTGCAATCAATAATAATAATAATAATAACAACAATAGCAATAATAGCACAAGAAGATAAGCTACAACCAAGCATGTACTCGGACAAGCATACCAGACCAAAACAGGAAAGGTCTGCAAATTGTTGGGCCTTGTTGGTCAAAGTGGCCTCAGAGATAGCAGAAGACACGAGATTTTGCTGTACTAGAGGCCAGTGTCAGGTGTAAAACGACGATCGTCAGGAAGAAAAAGAAACACTTGAAAATCTTGTACATAAGCCCCTGAATGAATGTATAACGTGATACAGGGTCACATAAACTAGATTTCAGGGACTCTGCAATGGACATTTAGTTACTGACATGCAACATCGAAGACTGCTGGAAGGGCGTGTGAGTTGTTACATAAAACGACATGTTGCGTTGTAGTAGGGCAAGGTCGCCTAATGCTGTCCACACTCTTTCAAACTTAATTTAAGAGAAAGGTAATAGACGAATGAAGAAAATATTCATGAAGATTGGTGAAAAGATGCATATCCTTATCTCCGGACCTTTGGAGATAGGGATTAGCCCTTTCGATTTGTCCCAACTGAGTAGGTTTACCTGAATGCGGGGACAGAATCCAGTCTCCGAAATGTTGTGTTTTGAAAAATAAACAGGACGGAGGCTTCAGATAAAGTCAGGACGATGGATAATATCCAGAAACATAATATTTGTACTGATGTACCACTGTCACAAACTTTTAGATCTTATATACTTACATATTCTGTGGTGTTATGTACACACAATTTGACGCGTCCTGGTTCGTAGAGCGGATGGAACTTAGCTGAATTTTCATAATACGTACAAGGACAGTGCCTTACCTTCCAAAACTTGACTGCTTGCCGGCCTTGTCTTCTTGTGTCGATACACCGCGCAAGTAGCAGAGTGGGCCCTATCACCAACATCGTTGTTCCCACTGTTATCAAAATGGCTGACGTGGGGTTGATTTTAGACCCCTTGTGTGGACTGCGCATCATTTTCTTTGTCTCTGCGGATGTTGAATTGTGTTCAACAATTCCTTCTTTTTCCGCTGTACCTTAAAAAAGAAAGTGGAAGTTTGTATATTAACACGATGACATTACGGAATTTAATTTATTCAACAAGGTAGAATTTATATTGTTCCTCTGATTTTTAAGCGTGCCTACTGGGTTCCATTAGGATTTATTACAGACTACACCTCTTTGCGCAAATGTCTCTGCTTTCCGGCCACCATCTTAATTTTATTCGCTCTTTATTTGCTCCGTTAATACAATTATTTTATAAAACATATCATACACTACTTTTATTGCATGTTTCGGCCTTTCGGTCATCATCAGGTATTAACACGATTTACATTCATCTTCGGGTCATCTGCTCTTCTTCCTTGCAATGCTCTCAGTTTTTATTTGGAAATGATTTTCTCGTTTTTTATATCAAAGCAATGTCCGATGTAGCTTCTTTGCTTAAATTTACATAAATAAATAAGTAAATAAGTTAAGATGTCAAACTGTGCCTATATATCCGAATATCTGGTGCAGTTAAGCCAACGGAATCACACCACGGAACTAGTAACTGTACGCCTCTCAAGAGCTGTTCTTTTTACGAATGTGCATAGTAGAAAAGACTATAATTTTGATACCATATTCTGCAGGGGATGAGGGCGAGCACGCGGTAGCGTAGTTGGTTCAAGTACTATGCTACAAACCGGAAGGTATCGGATTCGATTCCAGATGAGGCTATTGGATTTTTCAATTTACTTAATCTTTATAGACGCTCTATGAACCTAGGTTCGCGCAAGGTTGACAACCTCAGCGCAAACTGTTAGCCGATTGTGTAGAAAATGTGGGAGCCGCAGCGTCTCACAACCCTATGGACCTCCACGGTCTGTTTTTTTTTTCCAATGGCACTACAGCCCCAGTGGGCTTAGGCCTACCTCCATGAACTCCGTTCTCTTCGGTTTTTCTAGATCTTACACATACGGTAGGACTCCTTGGGCGAGTGATCAGCTCATCGCAAGGCCTCTACCTGTAGGCAAACACAGAAAAACATCCATGCCCTGAGTGGGATTAGAGCCCACGAGCCCAGCTTCCGAGCGAGCGAAGATAGTGCATGCCTTAGACCGCTCGGCTACCGTGACCGGCCCACGGTCTGTTACAGGGATATCTTTTTACAGCATTCTGCACATTTCATAATTCGAGTTACATGCATCAATGAACTGTAATATAATCAATTTTTTATTTTGAAGGAAATATAAGCCTTCTTTTAAAATATTACACAATACTTACAGCATTCGGTCTGGAATTAACATTTCGAGGACAACAGAAATGAGATGCCGACTTGTGCAGGCACATAACCTCTCCATAGTTTACCTGGAGTTCACGAAGTACACTCAGGTAATTTACAGAATTGAGGAAAAAGAACTACAAATTTGTTAAGACCTGAAGATCGCTTCATCAATTTCCGAAGTGGAATACAGCCTATATCCTAAGGCCCAACGTCTGAGAACCGCGCAAGGTATGCGCTAATATGACCCAACATAGAGTTCATTAAGCGGTCAAATTTTTACGTAAAATGTATATACATATGCAAGCAACGAATTTAAAAAGGGCAAATTGTCTCCATGAAGTGTAATATTGTAACTGCACACTCATTTTTTCACTACTACGCAATGTCGTGTATGTGTTCATAAATTTCTTTGGAACAACAGACTTACAGCACTATCTCAATAGGAGTACGTAAATATTAAGGGCGCCGGCCACGGTAGCCGAGCGGTTTAAGGCATGTACTGTCTTCGCTCTCTTGGAAACCGGGATCGTGGGTTCGAATCTCACTCAGGGCATGGATGTTTAGTTTGTGTGTGCGCGTTTTTCTGTGTTTGTGTACAGGTAGAGGCCTTGCGACGAGCTGATCACCCGCCCAAGGAGTCCTACCGAATGTGTAAGATCTAGAAAAACCGAAGTGAACGGAGAAGTTCATGGAGGTAGGTCTAGGCCCACTGGGGCTGTAGTGCCAAGGGAAAAAAAATATTAAGGGCAACGAACCGCATAAAATTGCAAACAAAGCACTTTCATATTATCACGGATAAAAAAACACGCATATACAAACAAACTAATAATGCACACTACTTCACTTTGATTTGACTAACGCATGTAGTGGGCCGAGCCATAGCTCAAGCGGTTAGTCGCTGGCTTCCCAACGCGGCGGCCCGGGTTCGATCCCGGATCTGGTCAAGTGGGATTTGTGGTTGACAAAGTGGCGCTGGGGCGGGTTTTCTCCAAGTACTTCGGTTTCCCCTGCCAATCTTCATTACACCAAATTCTCCATGATCATAATCAACCGGGGCAGGTTACAATAGGCCAATCAGTGGCCGCCGTGCCGAGTGGACCCAGTTGGACTCCAACCCCCAATAAGCGAATTAAAAAAAACGCATGTAGTGACGTTTCAGCTCACTCCAGAAAAGGAGATTTTTGATCTGGAAACTAAGATCTTTAATTCAAATCATAGAGACAATGCAAATACCTGATACGATAAAAATGTCATTAACAACAGGACCCTGTACTTCGAAAAGGCAGGTCTTGCCAAATCAAGAAGATGTCTCTATCCTTACCGGTCAGGGACGACAATTTCTCCTACTAGACATGAGACTGTCAACACCAAACGAATGAGAACTATCAAAATAGCCACACTAACCTAATTCCACAAATTTTTATGAATCCCGAAAGAATGCTAGCAGATTCGGGCAGATATGGTAGGTTTGCGAAGCTGCGGACACAACTAATATCAGGCTTACATGAAAAATTACCAAAAATCAATTAATAGTGTTAACACCGTAAACTGTAGCTGTTAACTACGCTGTTTGGATATGGTTAAAATCCAAAGATAATTTTTGTTTGTAATTAAATAATCTAGTAATATATTTGTTAGTTAACATTATTTATTATTTTTGAAATAATGACAATATTTTCCACGTGTAATTTTATGGTCCTACCTAATGTGTAACTACTTTGTATTTCTTCAACAATCTCTCAATATAAAAATTCCCTTGACTTGCTATTTGTCGAATATAATGCCTGCCCTTTCTCGTCAGATTTGTCTGTATACAAGTCGTAAATACATAATGGTCCGAATTTCGCTCAAATCCCTTCTAATGGCGCTGATACAATGACGCATGCCCGATGGCGCATCTGGCTTAATCTGAGATTGTGAACTTACTTGATTTTGCGTAAGTTATTAGGTTCTATTATTACGGAATCACATTTGCTGCCCTTGCCGATCGCAGCGCCTGCGTAATCTAGGGCACGAACTTCTTCGCTCCCTCGTATGTCGATATCGTGAGTTCGGATCCCACTTAAGTCATGTGTTGTTCTGTCTGTATATAGCGGCCTTGCGACTGGCTGATCCCCCGTCCAAGGAGTCCTACCGACTATGTACAAGACCAAGAATCTGGAAAAGTGGCCAAGGCCAAACAAAGGGCTGTAGAGCCATAACAATAATTTGCCACTCATAAAGACTGTGTACTTTATACTATATCCAAGATTAAGTTCAATTAGGTATATTTGTGTTTATAGATCGTGAAAATCCCTTGTTTGCATTTAAGTAGTAATATCAGAATATTAATAGGGCGCTCAAATTAAGAGGTATGAGACGGGATGCGAGGAATGCACACAGAATTTTAGTCTCAACATCTGGGAGACGTAGGCCCCCCTGAGAGAACATTAAATAAACATAATGTAAAGGTGTGGATTGGATTCGTGTGGCTCAGGACAGGCGACGATGCTCTATAGAATACTGAAAGAACTTTCAGGTTCGATAAGAGGCTGGGAATTTTTTGCAAGCTGACCGATTATCGTTTTTCATGCACTTATGAAACACGAGGGAAGAAGTTTCACGCCACAGAACCAGTACACGGCCACGAGTGTTTGTCGAATACAAGGGCAGAAGGCTAAACAGTTATCAGAGGAAATTCCGTGTGTTTGAGCATTCGCCATGTACTTTCACGTGTTAGATACGTGACTCGGTTCTAACGCGGAAAAGTGCAATGCCAAAGACAAATATTTATGAATATCTTAAAAACGTGTTCATATGTTCTCAGACTCGTCACTCAGGACGTAGCGTACCGTGGTGCGTTGATGACGACAATAATTATTAGGTAATACTCAACGAAGCGAAGCATTTCTATGTTAATACAGTTGATCTTAGACTTCCTAAAGTGCATAAAATATCTGTACTGAATTGTTTTGGAATATACTTTAACAAAGAATGAGTTTTGTCAAAATTATTTCAGTTTGGCGCACGATAGAAGAATATGCCAGACAAATGCTGAGCCGAAGTTTATACGCTCGTGGTTCATTCAAGACAGCAATAAATTTCAACATCAACTATAACGTTTTAAGTATCCCCATACGTATACACAGGATTTTCCAGGAGGAAAGGTCAATATTCTTGGAGGTCATATTATCAATCATTCTAAACAAAAAAAAAAAGTGTATATGTACACGTGTCCAATTCCGAAAGGTTTCTGAGATACAGCTATTTCTCTGTAAAGTTCCAAGATTCTTGATAAGAAGGAGATATTGCGTACTGTTTCTAATACTCAGTTACTTACGGAGCTGAGCCCTTCTTGAGGAGCAGTCAAATCTGCAGCTACTTAAGAATTTCCCAGCATTTTACGGAAACCGAAGGTTCATTACCGTGTTCACAAGAGCCCTCCACTGGTACCTATCCTGAGCCAGATCAATCCAATCCATACTATCTCATCCTATCTCTCTAAGATCTATTTTAATATTGTCCACCCGCCTACGTCTTGGTCTTCCCAGTGGTCTCTTTCCTTCTGGCTTCCCCACCAATACCCTATATGCATTCCTCTTCTCCCTCATTCGTGTTACATGCCCTGCCCACCTCATCCTCCTACACTTGATCATTCTAATGATATTTGGAGAAGAGTACAAGTTATGAAGCTCCTCATTATGCAGTTTTTTCCAACCTCCTGTCACTTCATCTCTCTTCGGTCCAAATATTTTCCTCAGCATCATATTCTCAAACATCCTCATTATATGTTCCTCCCTTAATGTCAGACACCAATTTTCACACCCATACAGAACGTTTCTAACACCAGTATTTATTATTCAAGTGACAAAGTTGGTACAGTTTACCTAGCATAACACATTTTCGAAAATTTCATCAACATCAACGCACTTTCCAACTCATGTGAGGACATGGCGTGTTGCTCAAATGTACAGGGTACAATGTACTGTACAGTGAAAGAGCTCTATCTCGGCAACCGTCCGGAATAGGATGCTACAATTTTTTGCTTAGAATGACCGATATTATAGCCTCCCATAATATTGATCTTTTGTCCTGGGTCATCCTGTAGATTTAGAATCGCTAGTGTATAACTGTAAGTATTCTCCAAAAATTATTAACAACTTACCATGAATCCTTTTCGTGAAACGAGAAGGCAGTACATTCCTTCATGTTTCACGACAAAAAAGAAACGTCCTACTTAAATTAAAATTATGTAGAGTGCTCAATGTACTTGTCGTAAAAGGCCTTTGTTAGTGTTGGCAGCTGCATCTTTTAAGTAACGAAGGACGTAACTTCAAATTACAGCTGACAGCATTCTTGCATTGAAGACTGCTTGGTGAAAATACTCCACAAGGTTGGCATCACTTACTTCTGTTTCTAACGCAAAGCAAATTTCGCTCTAACAGTTTATCGTACACCATCATCTTTTCTCTAAAGCAAAATATTCAGTCTCTATAGTTCTGCATACTTGTATCTCAACGAAGGAGGGAGTAAATTGTCACTGGGCTTCGACATATGGGGGGCGTCAAAATATAATTTTATGCACTATTCACTTCGTGGCTTCTCTAAATTTCCGCAGGAAATATTGGGAAAGTGCCTTAAAATGGGCTACTACCACTTCCTTCGACTTTCCGTCATTAATATATACTGAAAACAATGCAATTGATAATTTAGCATCACCCCGTTAAGGGGTATGGGGGAGCGGATTTATAGCTCCGTCATTCTTGACTTTGGCATTGGATAGAGGTGAGTGGTCAGCTTCACACCTCTGCTACTGTACCCCCGGGGAAACCCCCCGGTATCCATAGTACCATGTAGAGGAGGATAGGTGAACCCCAGAGGCGGTCTTGACGCTGCGGAAAAGATGAAAATCTCTTTCCCGTGCCAGAAATCGAGTTCAGTCTCCTCTTAATTTCCTCCTGTATCAGATTTTGATTAGTTATCGTCGTTCCCAAATTGACCACGATAAGCGAAAGCAAAGGTACACTTAGGTCTAAGCAAGGAACTTAAACATATTTGGTCCAATACAATACATTAAATGGAGAGGCTCTTAGTATCAAATTACCTTCAGGTCCATCTGTTTCTCTGTCGCTCTTCGTGCCGTTAAAATTCCTGCTAGTTTCTGACACAGATGAGATCCTGTTGCCCGTGCTAGAAAATGTGTCGTCACTGGTTAGCGTGGTAACACCCCGAAGTATTAACAGAGCACCAACTGCACACCACGATATGATTTGCACCAGAATCACCGCGCGACCCGAGCGACTCTGGTCAGCAGATCTGCATCGGCGATTCTCGTTTGCCATTCTGTCTGCACTTCTAAACATATAGGAACAGACTACAACATGCGACATCAACAGAGCACTTCCTGACAACAGTCCCGGGACGATGCTATCTTGTTTCCTTCACGACTTCTCAGTCTAATGGACGAAGTAGATAGTATCTGATCTCTTCCACCTTTTGTGCCGTTAGAATGATTGATTACGTAACCAAGAGCCGATGCTGACTGCTATACTCTGTCATTCGGTGCAACGAATTAACATGCTTTTCATGTTACGATGTTTACCTTCCGTCGCTCATGGAAAACGAATACAGATTATAATTAAGGAAAAACTAGTCTGTTCAAAGTGATGATGTACGATTCTAATTAACAGTTATTGCATAAATGATAACATATCTGTGGTGATTAATTGTAGGATATCTTGGTTACTTTGTTTTTCTCAACTTGTTTATCTGTTAACGCCAGTACATAATTCACTTCTTCTGACTTCTAACTGATGCACATCAAACTAACAGAAGTGTATTTAAAACTTCTCGGCTCCTAGTAACAAACCATCAGTTCAAGGCTTTGGTCAATGGAAATAGAAATTACTGTAGTCACAGCAGCACAGCTCTAAGAGGGCAGGTTCATACACTAATTTAATTGCCCGTACTGGTTCTTGAATTACACACTGAAGTGAATTATACGGTTAATCGAACTCATTTCATGACGTCACTGTTCGTGAATGTCTTCATTCGGAGTGGACGTATTGATATCCTATTAGAAACTTCACTTGTTTGTGTGTGTGTTTTTTAGTTATTTCGTAATTAAACAGACCAGCGAATAGAGAACAACAGGCAATGACAGCTTAAACTAATCACTCAATAACAATATTGGCGATAAAGTTGGCAAAAATATTGTCCTTTAAACTTATCTCGTCTTACATAGCCTGCACAAAATCCTTGACACTGTACGCCGGTAACGCAGTCTTAACAACTTCGTGGCTACGTCATGTAGGACAACACAAACAACCTGCGCGGGGAGTAAGAAATCGACGAATATTCTTGAGTATTCCTTGAGGCACAAACACAGCACTTGACACTGGTGTCTGTCGTGTAATGAGGGGGCCCGTCTCCAACGTACGGGACACCTTATCATTACTGCGCTCCACTGAGTCATTCTTGGCACCCCTCCCAACGGCCTGGGGGGTGGGGCTCAGCGCAACAACCAACCTTTGCTACTGTGCGTACAGCTGGCGCGCGTGTGCTGCTGCTGACACTCGCTTGTCGACCGCGCCAACTGCTCGCGATGTTGCTGCGTCGGTGCCGATCCCTGGTCGGTGGGTACTGTAGTGTCGTGGTTCCCAAACAGCGGCCAGAAGGTCGAAATTCCAAAAGCAGTTACAGGAACTGCGGCAGAAGAATGCGAAGGCTGAGTGCCGCTGATACCAAAGAATAGCACTGACCATAAGCGAGTTCCAACCATTTCCTTCCCTTACCTTCTTGGTCTTACATGTGTACTTTGCAAGAGGTGTCATTGCTACAGTACTGTTCTCCCATTCTAGTCTTAACCGCAGCCCGTAATTGTATTCCCGCACTAGCTTAACGGTACTGTGATACAGATCGATGTTGCCACACGAAGGACACCAGCTTCCATTCTTCCTGTGTGCACTGCTCGAACGTAGCACTGTTTATGGGATAAGAGCTATAACAGTGGTGGCTATGAAAAGTATTGTCTTCTTGGATGTGAGCTGTGCAGTCTGGTAGTTTTTACCGTAGTATCGGAGAGACGGCAGTAAACATATACCAGACCAAACGGCGATACCGCTCAGAAAACAATATTTTCTACTGCTCATCTTACCCGTTCACTGTTAACACTGGAAGCTTTTAAGGTTGAAAAGGAAAAGTCCGTACTGGCCTGGAAAAAGGGAGGGGGGTGGCCTTGACGGGACATATGAGTTAATCTACATTACTGTTGTTTGGAAACCTTGACTTGTGTCTACAGTCTGAAAATTAAGTTGGGCATTGTCCATTCTATGAGTACATAGGCTATATAAGCCTACTTTCCTTATTTTATGAAAGGAGGCTGAGATCATCTACCTATCTATCTATCTATCTATCTATCTGCTTTTTGTTAGTGTACTTACTTACTTATGGAGCTGAGCCTCTTTTGAGGAGAAGTCGAATCTGCAGCTACTTAAGAATTTCCCAGCATTTTAAGGAATCTGAAAGTTCATTACCGTGTTCACAAGAGCCCTCCACTGGTCCATATCCTGAGCCAGATCAATTCAATCCATGCTATCCCATCCTATCTCTCTAAGATCCATTCTAATATTGTCCAACCACCTACGCCTTGGTCTTCCCAGTGGTCTCTTTCCTTCTAGCTTTCCCACCAATATCCTATACGCATTCCTCGTCTCCCTCATTCGTGCTACATGCCCTGCGCGCATCGTCCTCCTTGACTTCGTCATTTTAATTATATTTGGAGAAGAGTACAAGTTATGAAGCTCCTCGTTATGCAGTTTTCTCCAACCTCCTGTCACTTCATCTCTCTTCGGTCCAAATATTCTCCTCAACACCTTGTTCTCAAGCACCCTCAGTATGTTCCTCCCTTAATGTCAGAGACCATACACCCATACAGAACCACAGACAAAATTATAGTTTTGTATATTCTAATTTTTATGTTTTTGGACAGCAGACGAGAAGACGAAAGGTTTTGGACTGAATGGTAGCAAGCATTACCCGAGTTCAGTCTCCTCTTAATTTCCTCCTAAATCAAGTTTCGATCTGTTATCGTTGTTCCTAAATATCTGAATTGTGCCACATTTTCAAAACATCTGTTTCCTCTCTTTATGTCTTGATTTTGCCCTGCACTTTCGTGACGAGACAGTAACATATACTTAGCTTTTCTTTCAGTGTTTACTTCTAGACCAACATCTTTACTTGTGTCAATTAAAGTTTGTGTGTTTTTCTTTATGGTATCTACATTATCACCCAGTAGATTCACACCATCGGCATAGACCAACAGCTGATGTGTCCCGTTTAATTTCAGTCCCACCTGGTTTCCCTGGACCTTCCTAATGGCATATTCTAAGGCAAAGTCGAAAAGGAGTGGCGATAAAGCATCTCCTTGTTTTAGACCATTCTGGAGAGGAAATTTATCAGACAAATATTTACCTATACGGACTTTACTATAAGTTTCGTTTAAACACATTTTAATCAACCTAACTAGTTTCATTGTTATCCCAAACCCCATCAGAATATTGTACAATACTTCCCTCCTAACTGAATCACAGGATATTTTGAAGTCTATGAATAGCTGATGTACTGTCTCAATGTACGTGTATTCCAATTTTTTCTCCAATATCTGACGAATGCAAAAGATCTAATCTGTAGTTTATCTGCTACGTCGAAGCCCACACTGATGATCCCAAATAAAGTCCTTCTGTTTGTCTACAAAGAACAAACTCGGTGATATTTTAGTCCGCAAGCGAACTATACCGACCGAGCGACCGCCGCTTGTCGGCGAAGTTAGTGCCAACTTTTGCGGATAGAGGGTGTCGCGTGGTGAGCGCAACGAATCCCCACGGCCGTTAATATTGGTTTTCTAGATCGGAGCCGCTATTTCCTTGAAATAGCTCCTCAATCATCATCACGAGGCTGAGTGGACCCCGTTCCAGACCCACTACTTCTCAGAAATAATCTGGTAGTGTCGGGAATCGAACCAGGACCTCTGGTTCTGTAGCCAGGAACTCTGACCAGTAGACCACAGAGGCGGTTCTTGTGCTTGTGTATCCCGCCTAATTTCTGTTACGAGGATAATGAAACCATCTGAGATTGTTGCATGATTCCCTGAGCCGTGAGACAGAGAAAAAGAATGACTGCTGCAATTTACCCGACCCGAACCGATCTTGCTGTCTGTGCATCTGTCTGCGTATATCCCTTCATTTTTGTTAGGCTTATGAGTTCGCCTTGCTGTCTGGGTCTGTGTATCCCTTTATTTGTTTCCTTTTTCTATGCGGTCTGTGTAGTATCAAAGGAAAGTAGACGATGGGCTCTTCCCAGAAGTTCTTGTTTTTCTGTATAATAATAAGTAATCGCCTGAAGAAGGATTAGAGCCGTGTCCCGAAACAACACACACACACACACACACACATATATATATATGAAACATACCTCTGGAAACGAAGCACATGTAAGGTAAATATTTATAGATCTATACTCAATCGGTCGGGGGCACGTGGTAGCGTAGTTGGTTGAGGCACTATACTACAAGCCGGAAGGTTGCGGGTTCAAGTTCAGATGAGGTCATTGGATTTCTTTCAATTGACCTAATTTTCCAGCCGCACTATGGCCCTGGAGTCGACTCAGCCTCTAAGAGAAATGAGTACCAGGAATATGCTTGGAATATTCTTGGGGGTAAAGGGCGGCCGGCGCTTAGGGCTGACAACCTTACCGCCATCTTTGAGCCGATTGTCTAGAGAAAATGTAGGAACCTCAACATCTCACAATCCTATGGGCCTCCACGGCCTGTTGCAGGAATATCTCTACGAGTACTTTTACTCCATCGGCCACTGTCGTATACCTTTAGATAATCACTGATTTACAGATTCATTTTCTCACTCCTAACAAGGGACACAGCCGAACGCCATCTCGGAATCCCACTGTGTACAAAGCGTCATTTTTAGCCCCACTTCATTTTACAATACGGACTCAACTACGTGGATTCTCTCCTAATCCCACCACGAACATCAGTACATGCCTAGGGCTCCAAGTCTTTGTTTCTCTGTTGATAGGAAGAGGAAATGATGCGGTCTTATCAAGCAGTCCTGTTACATAACAGCAAGTGAAATCTTACGTTTAACACTCCTGATACCAAAGCCCCCCTCCCCTTTAAATGCAGCCACTTCCATCTACCACCTACCTTCGCAGTCCTTCGCCCTAGGATCCCTTTTTGAGTTATTTTTATAGCTTGTGAGCGGACGTTAGGCAAGAGGTTGTCCACCAAAATTGTGTACGCATTCCATGTGTCCACTGTCCTAACAGTGCAACCAATATAAATCCATCACGACCTCCTTGATACCACAACCCTAGCAATAACAGGTGGTCTGCATAAATTATCAAGCAAGAATTTAAATTATATTCATTGTTCTGAATTATTTATCTATTTTTACATCTTGAAATACAGCACATTATTCACATACAGCAACATAAGAAGATTAAAGGCATTTTAAGGAATTTAATGAAGAATGTGACGGTGATATAAAGTAGTTGCTTTCGTGCAGGGAACTGCAGTTTTGAAGGAAAAGTAAGACATGATTAGTCAAGTCAATTTGCTGCTTCCGACGTATCTACACTAAATTTCGGCTAGCCATTTTGATTTTGTTTCAGTATGTGAGAGTTGAGGTTCTTAATGGAGTACTCTTCTCCAAGCATAATTAGAATGATCAAGTCAAGGAGGATGAGGTGGGCGGATCATGTAGCACGAATGGGGGAGACGAGGAATGCGTATAGGATATTGGTGGGAAAGCCAGAAGGAAAGAGACCACAGGGAAGACCAAGGTGTATTTGGGTGGGCAATATTAGAATGGATCTTAGAGGGATAGGATGTGATGGTATGGATTGGATAGATCTGGCTCAAGATAGGGACCAGTGGAGGGCTCTTGTGAACATGGTAATGAACCTTCGAGTTCCATAAAATGCTGGGAAATTCTTGAGTAGCTGCAGAATTGGCTGCTCCTCCAGAAGGGCTCAGCTCCATGAGTAAGTAATGGAGGCGACTATGAAGGCTACTGCCATCTGGGATATAACGCCATGTCATCTGTTGGATGTTTACAGACGTTCCTGCTAAACGTCGGCAATATTAAAAACCTTCCAGGCCACATTGCGTCATAGTTTTTGGTTTAGTTTCATTTCAAAGACCTCGTCATGTTTCTTCGTGCATTTCATTTTGATTTGTCATCGTTCACATATATTAGTAGAATGCCATGTTCGTAAAGTATTTGTTGGTTATATTTTCTGTGCATTATGATTTTGTTCTACTTTATGGTGATCAGACGAGGATATGCATATGTTCCCTCCCAGTAAATTGTTAGCAACGCACATATCATAAGCTGACGTATGCGATTCAATTTCACATAACACATTTAATTAAAGTTAACATTATACATACATTGGTTTCAGGAATCCTTTCCTTGACCAGCTCTTCTTATTTCCTTTCTACTACTTAATTTTATTCTTGAAATTGTTTTTCCTTCTGTCTGTGGTTTCGTTTTGTCGGAATACGTTTGGCCGTTTTAACTGAAGCCATCTGGCCGGTAAATTTAACTGATTAAAGTTCTGCTTTATGTTTCGCCGAAGATTAAAATTTCAGTTACAAAATCCCTGTGTTCACAGCACCATCTATGAACGTGTAAAGAACCCTACTGTCCCGTTATCGATATACCAACAACCGCTTCAGAGACATAATCTATACCCTTGTACGCTATCGGTTGGACTCTGTAAATGTTTCAAGAGAGAACATCTGACTGCCATCTGTGAGGCGATTTTAAGCACAGCAATGTACATTGAACCTAGTGAATCGTAGAAGTCGGTAGTGCTGTCAGTAACACAGTTAACTACTACTCAGTACCAATTCTCTCTAGCGCAAAACTCGTGTATTTGGTCATAATAATAGTCATAAATCACCCATCTCACACAAAGGGGCCGACCGGCAACAACATCTCACAAGGCTGTCGTCCTGCATGAATGCATTTTAATTCAATTATTTACCGACAGATGGCAATACAAGAATGACGAAAGTCAGGAAGGAGTTGAAGACGCCCACTGTCTTTCATACAGACCATCTACACCGGGCCCTTG